AAATTTATCAGAGAAATGTTGGACAGGCTCTTTTCTTTGATTATGTATACTAGGTAACTTGCAGGACAAGCTCAATCAATCTCCCTTTCCATAGATTCTATGAAGAGTTTGTACAAAAATTGAAGACTATATTTTTCATGACCATCTGAATAGCTGATAAAAAAGAAGTTGGCTCTTTTGAGAGCATAATCAGCTGACATGGAAACTCAAAGGCACAGAGAAGAATGCCCCATCTCACCACACCTCAAATGTTTAATCCTGTTTTTGTAAACTTCAGTGGAATAAAATAATTATTACTCTCACCTTGTTCAGCTTTTCCACTTGTGTGAAACTCTTCTGGTCAATGAAAATTTTCAAATCCTGGGATGCCTGTTTTTTTAGACTCCCAGATTTCACTCTCTTGATGGATCGATTGGGAAAAATTACCCAGTTCACAATGTCCAGGTCAGCTGTCAGATCTCCTTTCTCATCCAAATATACACCATCAATGGAATTATTGTGAAATTGGGGGCTCTGAAGGAAGGGGTGAAGCTGGAAAAGAGAGAAAAAGGATATAATTTCTTTGAAAAGACCCCTTAGTCTCTGTCTCTTTCTGTTTCTATTATTCTCTCTCTCTCCCTCCCTCCCTCCCTCTCTGTGTTTTCTCTCTCTCTCTCCAAAAAAAACAGGTCCTATTTTGAGTTTCCAACTTGGTTGGGATAATATCAATAAACCTAGGAATAATAACAGCTGCTCCTCTAATGTTTTGCTATAAACATTAGAATGATTATAAAGGGCAGGAGTTTAGATATCGGACAATATTCTTGTTCTCCCTGCTTTATGAGAACAATGCTAATAACAAAATTCCCCTAAAGGCAAGCTCCATTTTTTTAAATTTCATTGATGTTTGATTAAAATAATATTAATCTAAACTAAAACTTTTGGCCATTCAGAGGGCTGAGATTTTAATTTGATGGTTGTTGTTAGAGTTGCATCATGTTTCCTACTTTCCTTTTTTGTTCTCCAGGTCTTCTGTGGTGAAGACCAGAGACCTAGCACAAGAAATATCTCTTGTGAGTCAAAATATTAGTCCAAAATGTTTGTTCCTTACAGTCCTTACTTTCAGTGATCAGAGAGAATTGCCTATTGACTCCCACCATCTAAAGCAGAGGTGTCAAACTCATGGCGTCATGGTGACATCACATGATGTATAAGGACTTTTCCCCCTTTGTTAAACTGGGCATGGGTGTGGCCAGCCTGTGATGCATCCGGCCTATGGGGCAGGCCTGGTCTAAAGTATAACCTTAAATTTGCCTCCTTGGCACAAATGTAACACTATAGTCAGATCAACATGCCAAAAATGATGATCTAAGATCATCCACACAGTATATAAGACCAAATGTCAGCATTCCAGAAAACCTCCAGTCCAACAAATAACTCCAAGATGGACATCTTCTCAAAGGTTCTTTTTATTAGAGTAGTAAACTAGCACATCTGGGAAATCCCGAATCTGAAAGTTCCAGGCTTCCTTGCAATAAGTAAAAAAATTACAAATCCATCCCCTGCATCCATCATTGCATCACATGCTCCAATCACCATCTTTCCCAACTTGAGATGTCCTCTCAACCAGGTGCAGAAATAACATGACCTTGACTTAAAAGAAGAATGCTATTGTGTCTAACCACATACATTCCAAGCAATTCCCCCCTCCCATTTTCCCAGGCTTAAGAATGTGGCAGTGTGGAAGCATCTAGTGCTAATATGGCTTCCAAAGCTGACACCAAGTGGTATTGCTATATTGCTGCCAAACTACAGCTATTAGAAGATATTTGAATGGATGAGATAAAAGAATGGCTGAACAACCAAGATATGAAAGCATTTTCTTTGAAAACAATGAAAAAAGAGAGAGAATTGTTGCAAAAAGCAGGATCAGAGGGTATCAATAGAAAAATGAAGGGATTAGAAGGTTGGAGTTGGGTTGGGACAGAGTTTCATGATAATTAAATTTGTTAGAATTATAACCTAGGCATCCTAGCTTACAAAACTGATTTCCATCTGCAGGGGAACAATGATAGAAAACAATTACCTGCCACACCTTCATCCTTGAATCTTCTCCCTTCATGCCCCTGTTCCTCACTGATCTCTTGAATGGGGGTATATAAGCTGAATTTAAGGCCCTTCCCACAGCCCAGATGGTGTTGTAAATGAGGTAGCTGTCTAAAGCCAGAATCTGATCAATCTTCTCTTTCTTTAGGGACACTAAATCTTCTCTTTGTCTGCACCGCCTCCAGACTTTCACTGAAAGGGCATCCTTAGTGGAGGAACATCTAAAGATTTTCTTCACAAAATCATGCATAGATATATGAAAGAGATGTAAAGCATTGTAATCTGCCCATTTCTTCTTCTGTATTAGAAAGGAAAAAATGCCGGACACATACTTAAAGGAAAAGATACGAAGCATCAAATCGATACTGAGATCCCAGTGAGCTTTGGTGATCCAGACTTTTTCTACAATGGGTTCTAGAATGTGTTGAAGTAACACTTGCACAAACATCATTCCTACCTGGAATGAACTCATCTCCGAACCATAAACAAAGACATTGACTTCTCTCCACTTGTAATTTTTTTTAATTGAAAAGAGCATGTAAGCTGCATTTAGGGGAAAGGTTTGATGTATAACTGCACAAATGCCTTTCCTTAACATCAAAGAAGACATGGTCCTCATGAACGTCTCCCCCTGGTCAGTTTCTGGAGCAAGCAGACCAACCAAGGTCCATTGGAAATAGAGGAGAAGCTGGACCATCCCTAGGTACTGGACTCCTTCAGCAGGGAGCATTGGGTAAAAGAAAGGAAACTGAGTTTTATCCATCAAAATCTGAGAAGCAAGACTGTGACTGATCTGAAAGGCATAGAAGATGTAGTATTTTACACATTTAACAAGTAAAGTGCTATTTCACTCATTTCCAAAATCCAACCTTTCTTTTCATTTACAGGAGAGGACCCCTGATGGAAAGTTGCATAATTGAAAAGTGTCCCCTGAGAAAGACACACCTGTGGGATTTTGTAGGTGCTCAACATGGTGGAAATCTGGACAGAGATGCCAGTCTCAGCTTCTTCCAAGACAGCTACTGTGTTTCTCTGCTTTCCACACCTGTAATTGGGCACATTGGCCTCCCCATGTGAAAGGAGATCCATCAAAGCATCTGAAGTAATTTCTATCCTGAAAAAATTTTCATAGATATTATAACCCAGGGTGACGTTGGGTAAGAGATGGTCACTATGGTTGATGTCCTCAGTGGCAAAAATGAAGGGCACAAATTTCCAATAATGTTTGGTTGCTTTTCTGCAGAATAGAATGGAATAGAATAACAGAGTTGGAAGGGACCTTCTAGTCTATCTATGTCTATCTATCTATCTTCTAGTCCAGCCCCTGCTTAGGCAGTAAATCCTACACCACTTCAGACAAATGGTTATCCAACCTCTTCTTAAGAACTTCCAGTGTTGGAGTATTCACAACTTCTGGAGGTAAGTTGTTCCACTGATTAATTGTTCTCACTATCAGGAAATTTCTCCTTAGTTCTAGGTTGCTTCTCTCCTTGATTGGTTTACATCCATTGGTTCTTGTCCTGCTTTCCGGTGCTTTGGAAAACAGCTTGACTCCCTCTTCTTTGTGGCAGCCCCTGAGATATTGGAACATTGCTATCATGTCTCCCCTAGTCCTTCTTTTCATTAAACTAGACATTGAGTTTGTATCTGTTGTGTCTATTGTTGCAGTTGAAGTTGAAAAAGTCATGATCAGTTCTGATCATAGAATGGATAGGAAATTGGATATGGGCAAACACTGTATCTTGATTGGGTCTGGATATTCGATAGCTCAAGATGAGATTACTTAACCTGTGGTGTGCAGTAGAGATCCCAAATTAGAATCAGAAAGTAAGTTAGGAAAAGGATGAGATCAGGGTAGAACCCGTCCCTTTTCCAGAGAGTCAGAAATGTAAACATCAGTGGCGGGTTTCCAATTTTTTTCCCTACCGGTTCTATGAGAGTGTGCTTTGCACACTTGCGCAGGGCTAAAAAACTGCCCTTTGTGTCAACGCTGGTGAGCTGAGCTGTTCTTTAGCTCAGCTGAGGTGCAGGAATCCACTCTGCCATGCAAATCAGCTGAACTAAAAAAACAAGGGAATATAGGAGAGGTGATGGTGTGGGCAGGTGGCCAGCCAGAGGTGGTATTTGCCAGTTCTCTGAACTACTCACAATTTTAGATACTGGTACGCCAGAACCAGTCCGAACCAGCTGAATACAACCTTTGGTAGACATTCATTGGAAATGGAGCAGCTCCAATGCAGCTCAGGAAGATTGACTTACTTAGCAAATTTTGTTGAAGGACTTCTATTGAAGTGCAGGGATTGAAACCTAGCCTTCATTGCAGAGAATACACCACCAATGAAATAATCTCCGGACTTGTAATGATTGTCTGGGTCCACTTCACTTTGTTCCAGAGTCAGGAGGCATTTTGCTTTGTGCATCGCACAGGCTCCCCATGGCCACCAAAGCAAAAGAAGTAGAAGTATAAACAACATGACTTGTGTTCCTGACTGAGCTCTCTCTGTCTGCATTTTCACAAAAAATGAGAAGAAGAGGTGGTAGAAACCAAAACCTCTTCCAGGACAGAAGTTTCAGAAACAGACAGGATCCAGCCAAGAAATAGAAAAACAGCCCTTGTTTGTACTAAAAGCAACCCCTGAATCTCTTTGTTCTTTCTCCTGAGCCATTTATGCACCCAACATTTCTTTCTGTTTTAAGTCAACATTGCATTTAAATCTGATATCAGCATCAATACATTTTCTGATGTGTTTGTGTTAAATTTTCTGAAAGTTTGTAGAAAGGTCCCTTGGGAACTTAACATAATCTCAGCAAATCACTATGATTTGGGGAAATGCCCATGGAGTTTCTCAGTCATCCAGTTCATCGTTGTCCCAATGATGCTTTTTCCAAAAGGCAAAGAAACTTTCTTGGGTTTTTTCCTTTAAATATTTTGCCTCTCATCCAAGAAGTTTCTTCAGCTGTTCAGAATGATTTGGATAATTGCAAAGAACAGAAACACCAGCTCTCTGAACCCTGAATAAGTCAACAAGCACATGCCCAAAGGGATAACTTGCTTCTTGTCCTGCCTTCTGGTGCTTTGGAAAATAAATTGAGCCCCTTCTTCTTTGTGGAAGCCCCTCAAATATTGGACTACTGCTATCATGTCACCCCAGTCCTTTTTCTCGCTAGACTAGCCAAACCCAATTCCTGCAATTGTTCTTCATATGTTTTAGTCTTCAGGCCTTTAATCATATTAGTTGCTCTTTGCCAAAATCTCAACATCTGTTTTGTAATATGGTGACCAAACCTCAATGAAGTATTGTAGGTGTGGCCTTACTAAGGTACTCATACTTCACATGATTTTGATTCTATGCCTCTATTTATACAACCAAGGATTGTATGAGCTTCTTTGGCTGCCACCATACACTGCTGGCTCATATTTAAGTGATTGTCCACTAGGATACCAAGGTCTGCTGGTGATCTTCTACTGCTGCACCATAGAGAATATCTTAATCTAGTGCACTTCTGTATGGTTTGTCAATTGCACAGTGGCAGATAGGAAAGCACTCCAGAGGGTTAATGTCATTGCCCAGAAGATCATTGGATTTTTTTTAACTATTACCACTGGCAGATGGTACAGAATAATACAAACAAGGACAAATAGGCTGAAAAACTTTTGGTTTTTCATGCCTAAGGGTAATGTGGGGTGGCCTAATTTGTGGATGTGGCTCGGTGGTCATGTGACTGGGTGGGTGTGGCCATGTGGCCATGTGACTGGCAAACCAAATACCAGTGGTCCTCACTTAATGACCAGTTGCTTAGCAAGTGTTCTAATTTATGACTGACCTCCCCAGAGCTACTTGACCTATTTTGGGGGTTTTGACAGCCATGCACGCACATGCGCCCCCCCTTCTAGCCCTGCTGGAGCAGGTGGTTGGACTAGATATCTCATTCACTTTCTCCTCCCTCCCTCCCTCTCTCCCTCTTTCTTTCTTTCTTTCTTTCTTTCTTTCTTTCTTTCTTTCTTTCTTTCTTTTTCTCTTTCTTTCTGTCCCTTCCTTCCATCCTCCCTCTTTCTTTGTTTATCCCTTTTCTTCCTTTCTCTTCCTTTATCTCTCCCTTTTCTTTCTTTCCCCTTCTCTTTCTTTTCTTTCTTGTCTCTTCCTTCTCTCTCTTTCTTTCTTTCTCTCTTTCTCTCTCTCTCTCTTCCTTCCCTTCCTCCTTTGGTCTCTCCTCTTAAGCTAGGAGACCCACCTGAAACACACACACACACACACACACACACACACACACACTTCCAACAAGGTAGTCACCTGGCAGCATCACTCATGACAGGTCTCCCAGAGTCCCAGGGACCAGGTGCAATTGTCCGTTCACCCCGGTCCTGCATTGCCTGGAAAAGCTGGCAGGCAAGGCCTCCAGGTCCAACAAAGGCAGCCTGGGCAAGACTTCCACCCCTTCCTCTTTTGGGGAAAGGGCTGGGAACTTCAAACAAGGCTGCAGCCTCACCCATTGCAGTGGTTTGGGCTTTCCTGACTGCTTAAAAACTTACCTTACTCTCACAGCTGGTGGCAGAGGGAAAGAGGTGGTATTCAGCAGGTTCTGACCACTTCTGGAGAACCAGTAGTGGAAATTTTGAAAAGTTTGGAGAACTGGCAAATACCGTCCCGCCCCCATGTATTCTCTGCCTCCAGAGTCTCAGCTGATTGGCTGGGTCTTCTTTGGTTGCTCTGCACAGGAGAAGGGAGCTGGAAAGCAGGTTAGTGGGGTGGGGAGGGAATGGGATTTTGCAGTAACTTTCCCCTGCCATGCCCACCAAGCAACACCCACTAAGCCATGCTGACAGAACCAGTAGTAAAAAAAAATTGAATCCCACCACTGCTCAGAAGGATGAAAGGATGAACCTTCGATCTGTCAAATTGCAGGCAGCTGGCAGTCAGCAGAAGCATCCTGCAGTACTGCATTCTAACCACTGCACCACTGTGGTTCTGATGGTACCTATAGCCACAATTTGGTGTATGGGCGAAGTCGGAAAACTCTTGAAACACTGTTTTAAGGACCTATACACCCAGCATTACAGTATATTACTCGCATATTATTGCTTTAGATTCAAAAGTAAAGAGAAAGGGAGAAATGATATTGGTGAGACCATTAAGGGATAACTGTGAGACCATGAAGGAGGACTACAGACAGTGGGGTTGTCAGGACTCCAACAAATCCATCCCCATTCAAATCATAAGTCTCTAGCCATAGAGTAAAAAAAAATAATTTGTTAGGAATGGCCATGTTGGCATCAGCTGGGTGCTGCCAACACTAAAATACACCATTTATTTCCCCCTTGACCCTGGCCTTCCCCCCTCCCCCTGGATGTATATTCTCCAATGGGACACATCCATAGCCAAGAGTCATCAATCATGCTCTCCAGTAATATTTTTGCATGCCAACAACTTTGGGCTACCAAGGTGATTATCTGAGGCATTTGAAAAATGCACTGTTTCCCCCACTCTCTTTCTGCTGGCAGCAAAAAGACCAAATGAGTATCTTTTTAGTTGACAGGGTTTTTTGAAAGAATGTACAGGCAGAATGCCAAGGACATCATTTCTTTCAGATGAGTTCCTGCTAGGAGGCTAATCACATTGTCTGTGTTTCTCAGAATCTGTGTTCACTACTTGAAGATCTACCAGCCTTCACCAGTCCCTTTCTTTCTCAATGTTTTATGGCTGTGTTGACAGCCAAGTTTCCCCGGGAAAGACCCTTTTGGGGAATTTGCTGCTTCAAAAGGCAGATGATCAGTCCAGTTTGTATCTGACAGTTTCTTGCAAAACAACTGAAAACAAACTTGAAGAGAGAACTAAGAGGACAATGAAGAGTAAAAACCAGTTTGAAACAACCAGTTTTCTTCCAAGAAATGGATGGCAATAGTTCCTCTGTCAAAGAAGTAAAAGAAGGAGCAGTGGTCAGCAGCTTGGCCCTTTATGGAACAAGCTCATCTTAGGTGTTCAAAAAGAATCACTTGACTTCTGACAGCCAATAGAGGAAAAGGAAGGTTATGTCAGGTTTTGGGTGGGAAAAACGTTGAATCTTTGGAGAGAGTTGACTGGGTCTTACAATATAACGTTATAAGAAAATAGGCTTGGATTATCATTGGTGTAGTTGCCTCTCAGGTTATCCTAATGTCCTCGATCAATTCCACTGTACAGATATCCTGATACACAGTACTTCCTGTTGAGAGTAAACTAACTTAAATAAAAATGACTGGATAGATCATAATTAAATTTATGATAAAAATAAACTTTTCTGGTTTTCATACAACTGGAGACTCTTGAACAATAAATAAGAGCTTTATTATGGAGTTGTTTTTTTTTCAAAAGGGAATTCTGTGCTCATTGGCAGAGCCACAGAAGACATTGTTCCTAGGAAGGCTAGGGTTTATATATAGTTTCAAATATATAAATTTCTGCCCCTTCCCAGATTCACAATCTATCCAGCTACACATCACCCTAGGCAACACCCTATTATTGTAGCATACCATCTGTTTCCTTGTCCTGTTTACATTTCCAGTAATCTCCATCATTAACATGACACTGGGCAGCATGACCTGCAAAATATATGATCTTTTATAATGTTATAACGTAACATACAAAACAATACAGAGAATTCATAGGTAATATTCCAGTAAATTGCCTTAACACAGAAGCTAAAATTGGCATTGCCATTGCTTTATATTTTCACAGGTATAATGTTACATATCACAGTAATGGATCAACTCAAGGGAAGGGAATGATGGATTATCCTTAAACAGAAGAAATGTGTCGAAAGGTGTAAGATGAGAGGCAAAAAAGTGGTGCCAGAGGTCTGTCCTTGAGAAAAAAGATTAATAACAACATTTCTTTCTATTTTACTTTTATCATTAACTGCTCCTTTGTATTCAGATTTGGTCTTAGTAAAATAATGTAGCACTTGGGAATGAAGATACAGACCAGAAGACCTGCACTGGAGGCCAAAATGGAGAAGATCTGCACAGCCACCATGTAATTCCCTTTGGTGCTCAGATAGGTGGGCACAAAGGAGATCCAGACACTGCAGAAGACCAACACGCTGAAGGTGATCAGCTTAGCTTCATTGAAGGCTCCAGAGAGGTTCCTGGCCAGGAAAGCTACCACGAAGCAGATGTCAGACAAGAAGCCCATGTAGCCAAGAGCAATATAAAACATGGCAACA